TTCCAGGTTTAAGATGAATCTGATGGTCATGCACCCTGTGTGGAGGAAGTTGTTTAGGCTCTTCAAAGATTCCCTGGAATTCTTGTAACACCAACTGCAGCTCCTTAGGTGTAATCTCCTTATTCTGCTCTGCGATATCCTTTGGAAGTATCTGCATCACAAACAATTGGCCCATAGAATTCTTCATTGTCTTACTGACTTCTTTAGATAACTGATTCGCATGCAAACATTGTATCTTCCCTTTATGACTGCCTCTCAGTACCACCCTCTTATTCATGTATTGAAATTCCATGATGAGCTCTTTAAAATTCCACTTGATTGGCCCTAAAGAAGCAAGCCACTGTATTCCTAGTACCATTTCACAGCCTCCAAGTGGTACTAACATGACATCCATCTGAAACTCATGTTCATGGATCTTCCATCTAAAGTTAGTACATGATTGATTTGTTACAATCTTATCACCATTAGCAACCGAAACTTCCAAAGGAGTAGATTTAGATATCTTGCACCCCAACTTCCTAGCAGTATGTAAATCCAGAAAATTGTGTGTACTGCCTGAATCAATCAAGATATATAGATCATTGTTCTTCACCCTACCAGTTACCCTCATAGTTTGATAATGTTGTTGTCCTGTCAAAGCATTGAGGGAGATCAATGGCTGAACTTCTTGGACTGTAAGGTATTCATAAGAATTCCTGTCAGTAAGCACTTCTTCCTCTTCACATTCTTCTTCCCTCTGAGTCTGAATAATATCATACCCTTTTGTATCAAGAATTTGGATTTGATATAATTGGGTTGCACATTTGTGACCAGGAGAATAGATCTCATCACAATAGAAGCAGAGATTTTTCTTCCTTCTTTCTTCAATATATGTGGCAGACAAATTTCTTCTTCTAAGGGGTTGAGGCTTCCGGAACTCTCTATTCTGTATGTCTGGTTTCGGCAGCAGTCCCTTATTTGTGCTAGGGGTACTGCTCCTGAATGATAGATTAGAATTTCTCTCCAGAGTTCGAAAAGGAGATTTTTCTACTTCAGCTTTTCCCAATTTCTTGAGTTCTTCCAAAATGTTTTCCTGTAGGCGAGCATATTCCATAACCAGATGCAATGTTCCAGGCTTAAAAGCCTTGACAAAATGCTTAATAGCAGGATTAAGGCCTCCAATAAAACTGTCTAAAAAGAATTCCTCAGGCAGTAATTCACTCCTCTGCAACATTAAGCTTCTTAACTGTTCGAAATTGTCCATGTAATCATCTAAGGATTTAGTTTGGTGTAGTTTTTTGAAATCTTCCACCACAGTACTCCCTAAATCCTCATTGAATCTAGCACATAGATCCAAGACAAATTGTTCCCAAGAGACTCGTTTATGCACAGAAATGTAGCCAGTAAACCAAGATTCAGCTCTACCAATCAAATATAAAGATGCAAGGTCAACCTTCTGACTATGTTAATTAGCACAAAGCTCGAAATATTTGGCACATTTTTGAATCCATTTACGAGGGCTTTGACCAACAAATGTTGGAAACTCAAGTTTTGGGAGGAATGCAGAGATCTTAGGTGAAATACCTGAATTAATAGGTGGATTTCCATGAATAGAATGGACTACTGGAGATCTAGCGTTTTGAGAATGATTCCCTTCTTCTTCATCGTTCCTCTTTTGCAATAACGACAACAGTGCATCCAGCTTCAGGTTAGTCTCTGCGAACTTCTCTTCGTTTAGCAATTGTTGTTCCTTCAGTCGCCTCTCCAAACCTTGGACCTTATCCTCCATTTTCTTCGATAGTGAAGCTATGCTCAATTTTTTCGCCAGGATGTGCAGTAGACGAAAGATGAATTCAGTAATTCAAGGTGCTCTGATACCAATTGTAATGTTCTAGGATCATTATGAACGAAGAACATGAAAATAGTAGGAATTCTTACATGAAGAAAAGAATTCGAATAAGCCAGTGACAGAGAATTGCGTTAGGGAAGAAGAATGAACTGAGTAAAATGAATTCATGTATCTCCAAGTTTACAGCATGGTTTATTTATATACATCTCCTGCAACGATTCTAACGAATTAGTTATCTACAGCTAACTTAACTAACTCGTTATAACCCTGCATGCAAGCAACTCCCACGTGCCAAATGACGTATGCAAGAGGTGGCCTTCTTCCATTGGCCTGACGTGGCGTTCTTCTGTTGGAATATAACAGATTTTGAAACTGTAATAAATTGTTCATAGTTTTTTTTCCTGCTATCACTTGATCATTGGCATGCTAGTTTCTCTTCCAAATTCCTGCCGAGAATGATAGATGAACTCTCAACGAGAGCACCAATGTTGGTAGTAGAAAATATTCCGGGTAGAGAAAGTAGCAACATTTCTGTATAGTAAAATAGCGTCTCAGAATACAAGAGGTTGGTGGCCTATTTATAAGCGTATACAATGTGCCCACCAAGTAAGTGCTACATGAGTTTGGCCCGGTTTATCAACTAATACTGACGCTAATGGGCCAACCAGCCCAATAAGTAATTAAATAATCCCGGACTAATATCCGATAGCCGGACTGTGATCTGAGCTTGGTCGGGCCAAAGTTCGGGTGTAACGGGCCGATAGTCTTGGACCCGGTCCATTATCCCAACATACATAAAACTGAAAAAAGTAAAAAAATAATAAAATAAAAAACGCACATGAGGAAAAACCGGAAATAGAGTACATAGCCCATGATTTGAGAAGAGCTGATTACCTTAGAGACAACTAGATAGGGAGGTCTTGAAACCTTCAAAAATGGAGATGAGAGCTCTTGAAATGAAAAGAGGAGAAAATATGGGAATGAGGGTGAGAGAATAGGGACGGTTGGGAGAAAGAAAGAGAGGGTGTGGGATGAGAGATGTTTGGAGGGGTAAAAAATGGTAAAAAATTAAAAATAGGAAGACTTTTATATGTGGTACAAATTGGGGTAGGATTGAGATGTCAAAATTATGTTTTACTCATTTTGTATTTGACGAACCATGTTACTTTTCACGGAAACAGACTCTATGAGCCCGTTTGGTAGCATGAAAATCGGCTGATTTGGCTGATCCTGCTGAAATTTATGAAGTTCTGGTTGAAGTGGTTGTATTAGTTGATTCTGCTAATTTAGGAAAAAAATATTTTCAAAATATATTTTATTAATAAAATAAAGGAAATATATTATATGTAAAAATAGCTAAAATGATCATCTACAGTAACTTCAACCAATAGAGTCAGAAAAGTAACTTCAACCTTACTTTTTCTGCTTATTACACAATTCAGCGCGCAAAAGTAAAAGTTACGTGTTTGGTGAAAAAAATTGGCTGATAAGCCGAAAAACAGTGCTGCCAAACGACCTCTATATCTATTCCTAAATTTTACCATCCGGTGGTCAGTCACTCAGTTGTAAACTTGTAATTGTCTGGATATTATTCTCTATGTTCTTATTGAGATTTTTTTTTTCGCGTTGATTCTTATTCCAGGCTGATGAACTATTGGGAATTAATTACTGGTTTACGGAATATTACACAGCATGATGACACCCTAGCGCAGCTAATGTTGATTTGATTGGAGAATGATTAATAGAACGAAAGGCTGTCACCACTTTTTTTCAAGTCAATCCAAACATGCTAAATCTTCATATGGAGTAAACAATAATAAATAAAACAAAAGCTCGATCATATAATTAGGTGAGTATTACATTATAATATGATTTACGTTATATGATTACCAATTTCATAGTCACTTCGTCTTAATGCATATAAGCATATTCATTGTCTTGTTGCACACTTGCACCAATGTGAATGAAATAATTAATATGTACTGACAATATTTTAATTTTAGTTTTTTTTGAATGGATTTTGATTTTAATTTTAGTTATGTAGGTTGTTTTATTCATCATTAGCCACAGGAAAAGAGTATATAATAATAATACGGAGGCAAATGTTATTATTTAATCGTTCGTGGAAGGAAATAATAGGGAAAAAATATATATAGTGAGTGTGTATATATAATTTATTCATTATATTTTATATTCTTCTCCTATTATTTAATGGGTTTAAAGATAATTTTATTGATAAATATAAAATATAAAATTGAAGGTAAATGAAAAATAATTCCAATTACTTTTAACTATTACTTATTTTTAACTATTACTATGTGCGTATCCAAATGTTTGCAACACTTTCTCATTCGGTAGTTATTCTCAACATTTTCTATTTCTGATAATTTTTTTATTTAAAAACACTCAACCATTCTTACGTTTTCATACTATTTTTCATATTTTTTGCTCTCCGATCTTTTACATTTTTACAATATTCACTACTTATATTATTCCACCCTTAAATTGTGCAAAAATGGAATATTGTGAACGTTTGAATATGAGGATCGAGGAATATAATTTATTTGTTTTAATACATGGACATTTTTAATTACATAATTCTCTTCATAATATTATTACTTTTTATAGAAAAATAACACAATGCCAAGTACCTTGTAAGCTTATGACATCAGTGTGACACTTTCGAAGAGGAAGTCACATGTTCGAATCTCATCTCAATTCAAAGATGTTAGTCTTAATAGAACATATATCATACTCCGTAAGAGGTTAGAAAAATTTGTCCAAAAAAACAGAAAAAGAAAAATAACACAATAAATAAATAATACGTAATACTAGTATTACTTATTGCACTTGAAAAATGAAAACTACTTATAAATAAAAAAAATCATAGAATTCTCTGTTTATAAAATTATATTCTTTGCTTTGATATGAGAGGAAGAAAGTTTTAAACGCTTTATTATTATTTTGATTATTAATTTACTAGTCCCTTTATCTTTATTATAATACATGATCAGTATTTCAATTTTGATTTGGCAGGTTATTATCCTTTCAAAAAACAAAATTGGTAGGTTCTTATCTCAATCATTAGCCAGTAAAAGAGTGGCTTAACCAACTGTTTCTAGTCTTCTACTACTAACTACTACACAATTACCGATTTAAGAATATCTGTCAAAAAAAGAAGAAATTAGAACAACAAAAAAGTTTCTCTCCTTCTCTCTCCCCACTCCCCTTTGCGGTTAAGTTGCATTTACATGCCATTTCACAACTAGTAATATTGATTAACAAGAAAGAACGCCCTTCCCTCCCCTCCCCTTTCCCATTGTTTGCTGCCAGCACAGTCTGCTCTCTCATCATGTCCACCAAATCCAAGTAAGTGACATTGTTTTGCCCAGATCTGGGTTTTGATATTTTTGCTCAGATATCTTGATTTTGCTCCATCAGAAGATGCAACTTTTCCCAACTTCATTTAGTTTTTTTTCCCGTTTCTGGTTAGTTTTCTTGATTTGCTTTACTAAATTGCAGCCTAGGTCTGCTGCTTCTTAAAATTTCCCCCAAATTGTTTTAGTGAAGTGAAACTTGCTTGTCATGGCTGCTTCAATTTGAAATATGTTTAGAAGAATTCTGGGTTTGGTTATGAGTTATGAAAGTTTCCATCTTTAGATATGCTCATTCATTCGTTCAGTTTAATTTCATAAATGAAGCCTGTCCGGGTTTGGTGAATGTTCACTCTTTTTTTGCCTTCTAAAGTATGAAGCTTTACTTGATCTTGAATCAGATCCACCTTGCTGGAAACTCCAAAGAGCAAGCCGTCAGTTGTAACAGCACGGCCTAGTAGAGTGAGTAGAGTAGGAGCAGCAGCCAAATCTGATACTTCTGGTACACCAACTCACTTGCAAGCACCTCGCTCTTCTTCTGCTGATAAGTCTCCAGGATCGGTTACTTCTAGGCCTACTATCGACCGACGGTCACCTAAGCTCTCTGTCACCCCTCCTGATGTAAGTGCCACCATATGTGTGTGTGCAGCGTTGTTGTTCTCCCCCGTTGAGCCAGTGTTCCAGATTTGTAATTTTACTCTTAATTAGACTGTGTTTGCATCCTGAGAGTTGTGATGAAGGGAAAGGAAATGCAAAGGAGTGTTGCTCTCTTATGTTTTTTTTTGGATTTAGCTAGGAAAATGCAACTGAAAATGAAGGACTTCCTCTTTTCACTTTTAGCAGGACTCCGAAATTAAGACTAGTTGCAGGGTAGTGATGGCAGGTTTTTCTCTGATATATAGAGTAAAGTTGGAGAAGTTGGTAAAATAAGATTACCAAAATAGAAAGTGAAGCAAGTAATAATAAACTCCCATAAAAAGAAAGTAGAGCAAGTAAGACTGTAAGAGTCAATAGAGGGAGTATGGTCATTTTTAAGTTTCTTCTTAGCAATGTTTAGACCGTTTAGACGTTTAGTATTTATTAATACATATGAAAGAATTTGAGAAACAATAAAAATAAATTTGTTGAGTTTGAACCAAATATTTGATTTTCATCACCATTTTCTTTCCTACCAAATTTATCCTGTAATTCCCTCCCGTTTTTCTTTCCCTAGCATTTTTCATATTCCAAGCAAACCTTTCATATAAGAAGTTTACTTCCTTTCCTTATTGAAGTTTGATGTTGGTTTGTACCAGAAAAAGGCAACTCGCATTCTGAAGCCATCATCAGAGCTGCAGGCAGAACTTAATGTTGCTCAGGAAGATCTTAAGAAGACCAAGGAGAGCTTAGCTTCAATTGAGAAGGAGAAAGTCAAAGCTCTTGATGACTTGAAGGAAGCACAGAGAAAGGAAGAGGAAGCATGCGAGAAGCTCAAGGAGGCTTTGATGGCTCAAAAGCTTGCAGAAGAGAGTTCCGAAATAGAAAAGTTCCGTGCCATCGAGATACAACAGGCAGGCATAGAGGCAGCTAGGAAAAAGGAAGAGGAATGGAAGAAAGAGGTCGAAGTATTGAAGAGTCAACATGCTAATGACCTTTCTGCCCTCCTCTCCGCCACAAAAGAGCTTCAGCGTGTCAAGGAAGAACTTACCATGACCTGCGATGCCAAAAACCAGGCTCTCAACCATGCTGATGAAGCCACTAAGATTGCCGAGGCACATGTGAAAAAAGCTGAATCGCTTTCTGCCGAAGTGGTCCGGTTGAAATCCATACTCGAGTCGAGTCTGTCAGCAGAGGCTGATGAGAAGAATGAGCTGGTCGCTGAGTTGGACCTTGAGATCGAGACACTGAAAACAGAACTTGAGAAATCAAAACGTGTCGAGGAGAGGTTGATGGAAAGAGAGGCTCTCCTTGAGAAACTTAACACGGAGCTCCAGGCTGCGAATAAAGCTGAATCTTGCGCACAGAATCTAGTGAAGGAATGGAAGAAGATGGTTGAGGAGTTGGAGGCGGAGGCTGCCGAAGCACATAGGCTGGAGACTTCTGCTTCAGAATCTCTGGAAACAATCATGAAACAACTAGAAGACAAGAATGATTCACTGCATGATGCAGAATCTGAGATTGAATCTCTCAAAGAGAAGGCCGGGCTTCTGGAAATTTCCATCAGCAGGCAGAGAGGAGAGCTTGAGGAATCGAGCCGTCTTCTTAAGATAGCCAAGAATGAGGCTGCTGACATGGCAAAAAAGGTTGAATCTCTCATCTCTGAGATTGAGACCATCAAAGATGAGAAATTTCAGGCTCTGAACAATGAAAAGCTCGCTGCTGACAGTGTACAGAAGCTTCTGGAAGAAAAAAGCAAACTTCTGGATGAACTGGAAAACGCTAGGGATGAAGAAGAAAAGAGCAAGAAAGCAATGGAGAGTCTGGCATCAGCCTTGCATGAAGTTTCTTCAGAGGCAAGAGAAGCCAAAGAGAGGTTACTGTCTAGGGAAATCGAGCATGAAAATTATGAATCACAGATAGAGGACCTGAATCTTGTCCTGAAAGCAACAAACGAGAAGTACGAGAACATGCTTGATCACGCAAAACAGGAAATTGATATATTGATCTCGGCCATTGAAAAATCCAAGCTTGATTACCAGAACTTGAAAGCTGAATGTGAGGAAAGAGAGACCGACTTGATTAACAGTCTGAAAACAACTAATGAGAAGAGCTCTTCATTGGAAAGAGAAATAAACAGACTGGAAAATCTTCTGAAAGAGACACAAGCAGAAGTTTCCTTCTCTAAGGATGAAGAAACTCATTTAAAGAACTCCCTCAGGGAAACCGAATCTGAGGTCGATTATCTAAAGGAAGTTCTCGGCGAGGCAAAAGCTGAAAGCATGAAGCTAAAGGAGGCCTTAATGGACAAAGAGAATGAGATGCAAAGCATTATGCATGGAAATGATGAATTTCGAAGCAGGGAGGCAAAATATTTGAAAATAAACGAGGAGCTGACCAAACAGCTTGAGGAAGCTTTGGCTAAAAAGGTAGCTGACGAAGAAAATGAGGAGCTCACAGACAGCGAAAAAGATTATGATGTGCTCCCAAAGGTGGTCGAGTTTTCTGAACAAAACGGCGGAAGGGAAGAAAATCCTAAGATAGAAGAGATATCACATCAATCTGAGCATTTTGTCATAAAAGAGGCTGAAAATGGAGTAGGGGGTGCTGACGAAACAGATAAAGAAAGCGCACATGGAGAGAAGGATGATGCAGATTCTGTTGAGGCAGATTTTAAAATGTGGGAAAGCTGCAAGATTGAGGATAAAGACTTTTCCCCAGAGAAGGGAGAGGAGACAGAGAGTAAAGAAGCAGAGGGAAGTGAGAATGGCGACCACCAGAATGGGCTGTCGTCAATAGAAAACCATGATGATGCGCTGCTATTGAAGCAGCAGAGTCAGAAGAAGAAGAAAGTGTTTCTAGGCAAATTTGGGAACATGCTGCTTAAGAAGAAAAGCACTGGCAACCCCAAGCAATAGGTTCCTCTTTAATGTGTGCTTTGCAGTAATTCTTTTTTGCTCCTTCATTCATTCGTTTTCAGGTAGGGCTTAAATACATATATGGAAACATAAAAAACACGTACCGTCTATTCTCCTGCCCTGTTTGGTTCGCCTTTTTCTGTGTGTGATGGCATGTCAGGGTTGGGAGAATCCTTGTTTTTTTTTGTTTTTGTTGCAGGACTTGTTTTGCTGGTTCAGTATCATCTGAATTAGCACTGTTGTATATTGTTAATATGTTTTTTAATCTGTTTGGCAACAAACTTGCCTTTATTATGGTTATATAGCATGTTGTTATTTTAATGACTAGTCTTTCTGGATGGGCATGCTCATTTTGGCATTTTGTTTTTTAAAAAGAATTGTGCCAACGTTCATAGTTGTTTCTATAGATACAGAACCAGTAGTCAAAGTTCCGTAAAAGTAATCCAGCATTTTTTTCAAACATTATACCGTTTTGAAATAATTTTATACTTTTTGGGTGAAGAATGACAGCCACACCACGTGTGTGTGGGCAAGCCCAAAATAAGTACTCCCTCCGTCCCATAAGGTTCCATATAAAGGTTCACATTTCCATTTTAGAAAATAATTAGCAATCTTACGTGATAAATTAATCATTAAATATTAAAAAAATACATTTATAACATCATAGTTATCAATACTAACTACATTGTAATATATATTTATTAAAAGTATTTCTCAAAATATACTTGAAGTACTGTATTTAATTATTGTCTAAATAATTGTGTCGTTTTGCTATGAGAACCTTGCAACGGAACGGAGGTAGTACAAAATTAGGAAAATCAGATCTCCAAGATTTTAACTAAATAAAATTAAGCGTCAGGGAGAAATAATGAACTAAATAGATTTTTAATGCCATGTCAGTTTCATGATTTGTATTAAAAAAATCGTATACCCTAAACCCGGGCAAATTATACGGTACATCCGGGTGTACATATACACCTCGTATTTTTCAATTTCCTGCAACTTCAAGCCTTTTGATTCTTCTTTTGCCACCATCCTTTTATTTCTTTTTCAGCTGACCCGTTCCTTTTCTTTCTTTTCCAACCGTCATTCTATTTGATCTTTCCTTCTAGTTGTTTTACATTTTGTGTTTTATCTTTTTGATTTTATTTTTTTGTTTCTTTTAGGTTAGTTAGTTTACTTTCTTTTCTTTTATCTTTTTTCTTTTATTCTTTTCGTTTCTTTCTTTTCTTGTTTCCTTCTTTCTTTTTCTTTATACTCCGTATATTAATACCGAGCACATTAGAGAGCCTTTACTTTAAACTCAAATAAATAAAGTGTCTAAAAAGAATGGACATACACAAATTAGCTTTTGAATTTTTGAAAACTCATTTTATAAGTTATGCATGTCCATTTAGTACCTTCATTATGCTCATTTTAAAATGTTATATCAATGCATATTTCAAAAATCTCATATTACATTAGATTCACATATAATTTGATTATAGACACGAGACCACAAATAATGATACTCAATAGCACGATTCTAATACTCAATAACGTAGGTTTGATGCCCACTGAAAATGTCTTGATGCTCAACGAACAAAACTTACAATTTTTATATCAATGCTCATCTTATAAGTTATATATGCTCATTTGTATAGGTCTGATGCTCATTAAAAATTCATTAATGCTCATTTAACATTACGATTTTATAAGGTTTGATTCTCATTAAAAATTCATTAATGATCTTATAAGGTTTGATGCTCATTGAAAATGTCGTTATGTCAAACTAACAAACTTTACGATTTTCATATCAATTAACATTTTGAAAGTTACGTATGCTCATTTTGTATTGATGGTATGCTCATTTTAAAATGTCATATCAATGCATATTTCAAAAGTATCATATTACACTAAATTCACATATTGAAATTCATAAGAGTGTATTATAAATATAATTTAATAAGTTTTTATAAAAGAAAAAATAAGAAAAAGAACAAAAATTAGAAGATATGAAGTTGACACTGTGTTACTCATTGTTAGCCTCGTAATACTCAATAAAATAGGTCGGATGCTCACTAAACGTACAATATTGCTCATTTAGCGGAAGCCGTGAATTTTCGCTTAAATTACAAATATGCCACCGAATTTTTTTTGGCCTGTATTAGTGATTGGACCGTATTTCTTACTTGGGACGGATGTACATACACCCTGATGCACTATATACGAACTCCTAAACCCGAGGCACCCGAGGCATTATGTGAGGGTATAACAGTATACAACATCCAACAATAACATCCAAAGTCTTAATCCCAAAAGAATTTGAGGTCGGCTAACATGAGTCGATCTACGATAGGGTATAAGTGTATAACTGTATAAGGCCAAAAAAATGTTAGTGTATGACTTCACTTTTAGGTTATACACATTCTAATTTTTCCTTATGCTTCTTTTACATAAAAAAAATGCATTTGAAACAAATATCTTCAATACTGCTATGTAATTCGATCGAAGTATATTATTATTTGTAATGGAATTAGTACTTCTCCAAAATAAAGAATTGTTATGGATATAATATTTTAATATGGTGTTGAAAAATCTCAAGTACTATGATAATATTTGCACCACTATAGTAAACATAATATTGGGTGTGGGGGCTAAAAAAAATTATAAGACAATAATTAAACAAATATAAATGTGGGGAGGGGCCAAGGCCCCCCAAAACATACACATAGCTTGGTGGATGGGTTGGTTTCTTTCTCGCTTAAAGTTGGAAGGAGGAGAAGAGGGAAAAGTGGATCTAGTCCGATGACCATTCACTCCAAGTTTCTACTTTGTGAGAGATCTTGAGTTCGATTCCCACCTAGAAGAGATGAGGGAGGTCTTGCTCCCCATGATTCTTTCTACTTTCACGGAGTAGCTCAGCGGTTGAGAAAAGAGAGGATGATAATGAAAGCAACATGTTCATTGGTGGGATGAGCAGACTAGAAGGGGCAAATGATGTAAATCATGCTGGAATCATCCTTTGGAGCCAGTACAGACGAGACTCACTATGATCAGTTTCAGATTTATCTGTCTAGATACTTTGGAAGGTAGTTCATAGCCTACAAGATTATGGAAGCCTAAACATCAATATCTGAATTATAATGAAAAAAGTGAAATGAGGGGAAGAGGAACACAATGAGACCAAGCACGTTATGGTTGACATCATAATCGTTTTTTATTTGACTTCCTAGTCATTGGATTCTTTTTCTTTTACTGTGCACGCCGCACGGGCTGTTGGGTGTGTCTCGAAAAAACGAAGAAATATTAATTAATTAAAATTAATTAATAAATAAAATAGCTTAAGAAAACAAAAATAAGATGAAACAGAATTTAGCAAGAGCTCGTGCTACGCACGATGTCCTTAAAATGTATTCGTCGCCTCCCACGGTGCTAGGAGCGTTGCAACGACCGTTTCCCATGATACAGTGGCTAACGAACTAACGTTTGAGCACACAAATGAAAGTTCCGGCGAACGGGAACAAAGAAGAACACTCAGGAATTTTTTCAGAAAGCTGGAGGTCTTTTTCAAGTTGAAATATGTGTATGATTGCTTGTGAACGTGTAAGAACGTATTATGTTGCAAAGCACCTGCCACCTATTTATAGGAGGATTTGTTGTGTGTTGAATGAAGTGTTAATGGACCTGAACGTTGGACATCAATGACCAGTCCGTTGGGCATTGAATTGTCCATAAACTGTCCATTTAACGCAGCATTAAAAGATAAGAACATTGGACATTTATTGTTGTCACAGATCAGAATACGTCGAGCACTTCTGGTGCGAACATCAGAGTTGGAGCACTTCGGATGCGACCAGATGACCCCCACTAGAACACCTCGAGGTGTTCTAGTCTGAAGCCACCAGAAGACCTCATGGTCTTCTGGTTCCGAAGCCAACAGAGACCCTCTCAGGTCCGGAGCAGTTCTGCCGCTGAGCAATTCTGATTTTGGGAAAAATAAAACGTTACGGGAAGAAACAAAAATTAAATCGTATCTTTGAATGATAGATTTTTCGGATAATATTGGTGTCCGCAAGTCGCCCGCGCACACGAGTCGCGTTTTTTCTTCTCCATTTTCAGGATTTGATCAGCACACCCCTGCGCGCGAAGAGAGCCTTTTCCTATAAGAATCTTAACTCCTTCAAGGTGGGTTCCCTTTATAAAGGGGTGAAAATCCTTTGGGTTTTTCGGTGTGGGATAAATCCCACTAGAAAACCCATAATTTTCCCAGTTTTTCCATTTTAACGAGTGAACTTCGAGAATCAATTTCTCATTCATCCGTTATCCGTTTTGAGTGTACCACATATCTAATTGTAGCCCTTAACAAGGAAAATCCGAAATGACTTTGACCCGACCCAAATCAGAAGTGGACCCCACTCAAAAAATAGCTCCAAAATGACCATTTAATGCAATTTATTAACACATTTTCCAACAATCCCCCACATGAATGAAAATTGATTTTCGAGACTTAAAAAGACACGAAGATAGGAGGACACGTTGTGTTCACCGGATGATCCCTGCATACGGAGAGGTAGGTTTTATCCTTTGAACCTTCCGCTGTAAAGACATGTTTATTTACTGGCTGTCTAGTAGACTCGATGTCCTTAAACTATACTACCGTCGTGTAAACATTGACTTGTCTTTACACAGGAACCTTCCAACTTTGTTCCGTTCTCAGGGGTGTGCCCGTTTTGGCCATGGGTCACCGTCCTGGTTCTACAAGGGTTTCTAAAGAACAGAGTCTATACAGTTCTCCTTTGAAGCGACCCTCTTCTCTCTCACATAGGTGATTCTTTCACGAGTATCCCGCATACTCTTCCAATGTTCTTGAGTAGATCAACATTTTAGAATCATTAAAGCAAACGTTTTTGCTAACCTCGTGCGGGAGTCATTGTTTTAACGAGAAGTGTGTAGGAGTCCGGGACCCCCACAGTAACCATCCTTCGCTCAATAATTTAGGTGTCCCTTTTGAACCTAGGATCAACTAGGTTGGATATCCACTATAGAACTTTTCAATTCACGAGCTTTAGTCCCATTCGTCGTGACAACTTCTTCAATAATTCTCTATCCAATGCCTTGTTTAGCATATTCGCTATGTTATCCTTTGATTTCACGTAGTCAACAATGATAACACTCGTTGTGAGGAGTTGTTTAATGATGTTATGTCTACGACGAACGTGTCTAGACTTACCATAATTAATCCTGTAAAGGTCTGAATTTGAATTTGCTCTAAGCTTAATAAATACGGAATATGGTGCATCGCAGCATCGGTGGCCGAAAAGCCATAATATGGTGTTTAATAATAATAATGCCCACAACATTATTATTATTATTATTATTATTATTACTATTATTACTATTATTACTATTATTAATATTATTACTATTATTATTATTATTATTATTATTATTATTATTACTATTTTTATTATTATTTGTAGATCATACCTGTAACCTGTTAGGCTGTTACCATATCACGAATTTATTCATATATAAATGTAACAACACTTCCCACATTCAAGTGATAGTTCTACTTTTTCATCTCGGTGTACTGTTATAATATTAATTTCATGAGAGATTTACTTAAATAGGACTAAAACATGGTTAAAACTCCAAAGTGGGACATTAAGTTTTTTATTACCTAAATAGGACTTTTAATTACCGATCGGACAAAATTGCCCTTCTTAGTTCCTGCTGCAACAATTCACTGGGTGCGATGAAGGTCGTTTGCGAGTTGCGATGCACAGATGAACGGCTCCCCAGGTAAGTTTCTTGCGATCTTTTTCTTGTACTCATCTCTTAATTTCTTCTCAAGCTCCCTTGTTTTCTTCTTCTACAGGTCTTCTATTTTCTTCTTCTTTTGGATTTCCAAGTTTTTATAATCCTGAGTAATTTATTTTTAAAAGATTCATATTATTGTTCTAATCACTTCAATCTGAAAAATGACATAGTTGATCTTTAATTGAACACTGATTTGTAATAATGTCACTTTCATGACATTACATTTGCTAAGGTGACAATTTCAAAGAAGAAAATGACATTTCCAGAGTAATAATGTCACTTTCATGACATTTTCAAAACAAAAGTGACATTTTCAGATTGTCATTCTAGTAAATAAACTGTCACAAACGTGACATTTTTTTTGAACCAATAATTTTGACATTCTCGGATTATAAAAGTGACATTTTACTGAATAAATAAATTCAAATTCAAAAAGTCCAAATTAATAAATAAAATTCAAATCCAAATAATTTAAAGAAAAGAACAGAGGACCAAAAATTTGAAGAGGATTAGAAGAAAGGAGAATAGGATTTTTCACAAGAAAAATAGAGGACAAAGAGGAAGGAGAAGGAGGAGATGAAGAAGAAGGGGGAGACGATACCTGGGATTGACGCAAATCGATATCGACGGTGGAAGAAGCATCGTCATAGAGAGGCAGCAGCGTAGAGAGGAAGCGTAGAGAAGTGGTGGCGGCGATGGAGTACATGTTGTGGCGGGGAGAGATGTTTGCGAGAGAGAGGGAAGGCGCAGTGAGAGCTATTTGGGGAAAAAATCTGATTTAGGGATTAGGGGCAAAAAGGTAATGTGAAGTCCCATTTAAGAAATTTAAAACTTGAAGTCCTATTTTTGAGTTTTAACCATGTTTTAGTCCCATTTAATATAATTTCTTTAATTTCATTGCAACGTTACAATAAATATACTCCGGATCCGTATTATTTATGTTCATTTCACTAGTAGGTGCAGGCCAGGTATGATGTGATTGGTTGTATTTCCACTGACTCCACAAGTGGGGAAGTAAATGGAGGGATGATAGACTAAGACCAGTTAGTGCACGGCCGGTTGTTATAACTTGCTTGTACGTCTAGTTGTATGGGGTTGTACTTACGCTAATCGCAACTCAGCTTCATCATCCATAAATCAAATTTTTCATCACCTTTAATATATTCACTAAGCAACGTTGTTCTTAACTACAACCTTCCTTTTATTACTATACGTCATTTTTTTGCCAAATATTTTTTGTTAAATAATTACTCGTATAATTTTAAAAGTCAAACATTCGGATGTAAAAATAAATACATTTAGAGTCTAATTTTGTTGTCGTTAATTTAGAACTATTTTTGAAATAAACAACTAAAAGATGTAAAAAAAAGTATTTTAGTCATAATTTATTTAACAAAAATTAACATAAAAATCTCCCACTTATTTTTTTTAATTTTTTTATATATACAATATTGATGTTATATGAAAGGTCATAAAACTTAAGAATTTTGGTATGTTTTTAATAAAAGATGAAGTATAAATAAAAAAGTTGTAACACATTAAAGAAAAATGGGATTTTTAATAATCTTGGCCCGGTTCCGGTTTCGAGTCCGCGACCGAGTTCACCCCTAATTATACGTTATGGGTCTAGATGGATTTATTATACTCACAACTCACAATTATAGTTCCATTAATTATAATAAATACTGTTATGTTAAATGCACTGTATTGCAACTATTTGGCAGTCACATCTTCAAGATGACAGTATATACTGCCATGTTAGTCCTATTTCGAGGATAAAAACGTAGTAGTTCTATTTTGAAATTCCAAACTCCATTTACTCCTATTTTGGGAAATCTCCCTTTTTCATTAAAATTTAGGTGTCTCAATTTCTGATGTATTTTTATGCATTATATTAAATTGTGGATTTCAGTAGATTGTTACGGATTTCTAAACTATAAAACACCACACACATTCTTATCCAAATTCAACTACTTGCTACTTGGCACAGATACTTCACTAAGGTACTGTATTGGTGTATCGGAAACGTTCCCGTATCAGATACTCTAGGATACCTGTATCGTGCGTTCCCGGGCCGTATAAGCAATTTGTTAAAAGTTTCCAACTTTGTTTGTAATTTTTCTAAAAATTTCGAATACTTTTTTTTCTTAAAAAACACCCAAAATTTACATAATAAAATGCTTGAAAAAATGAAAAACTAAAAATGAATTTTACACAACTAAAATATGGGATATTGTTGAAGATGACTTTGAGAGCATGGACGATATAGGAGTACTTGACTTTGCCAACCTTTCCAAATATGAACAAGAATTGGAGGTTGTCTTTTTGGAAGATGATGTTATCTCTGGAAATTAGTAGCTCCAGTGGAAATATGTGTTAGAACTTTTATTAGATGTGTTAGCTTTTTATTAGAGTATTGTTTTCTATCTGTTTTATCCAAGAACTTTGGGTACTTTCAATTTTAATTTCAAAATTGTTGTTGTTTGATTCATTTCTCATTTTAAATTAATGACTTATTGACTATATTTATATTTCGAGATGCACTAATGTATATGAGATAAAGAATGAATTTATTTCTAACTATATTGATAATGTAAATTGTTTCAATGTCATGAATGGGCAGAGGTCACATGATATATATGTATTTATTTTAAAAAACAATCTTGTAATGTTTAATATTTAAAATACACCCCATAATTTATAACTATAAATACACCCCATGACTTTTAATATTTATAAATATGCCCCCCTTATTTGTCTTATATTTTTTTGGTTTTGTCTCATGCCCACACTCGTTTCCGTGTACCTGTATCGGTGCTACATATACTACTTGTACTTAAATTCTCATGAACTTCATAAAATTCTATTAAAATATCTATTAAATTTCATAAATTTTATTAATTCTATATTCGAATTCTATGTTGGGAATTCATTTAATAGGGGCTATTTACATACGTCACGATACATAGTTTTTTATTAAAAATACAGAGACTTTTGTACAATCTTTTATGACCATAACAATTTTAAATTAAAGTAGTTTGTAATATTTCAAGCAGAACGTTACACCAACGTACAAAATTTTTTAATCAAGAGTATAGAGCCTATTCTTCGAAATTACACCCAAAACCCATACGGGATCTCTCCTAAATTAAGCTCCAAATGACTTTTAGCTTGACTATTTAAACAAAGATGGGTGAGACTCGGTTCTAAGACTAATTTTGGATTTTTGGTAACACATTTCGGCTTACGTTGATTTTTTTTTGAATTTAGACAATTATTATTGTAGAAGTATCCCTATTTTATTGAAGTAGACTTAGAATGAAATACAAGTAGAATTAGAATGGAGAAGATGATGAATAGTATTAGAATTGAAGAACGAATGATCTAGGACTTGCCCTAAAGGCAAAGCTCTCATAACAATACAAGTATCGGTTAATGTATTACTTCTAACTTCTCATCCATTCTTTACACGATTTCAATAGTTTGTTCTGTTTCCTTGCATTCAGAAATTGGAAGTCTTGTTTCTCACATTTTCACAATATGGCCGTGATGGACTTCTGAAGTATACCCTTTGCATAACTAATCAAAAGGGTAACAACCTCTCTGCAAAATAACGTTCCATGACTTATCATCAGTAATTTAATACTTCCTCCGTTCCAATTTGGACTCAGGCCGGGTCGGGCCTAGGCCCGGTCGGGCCGGGCCGGGCCAGGCCTCGGGTTTGGTTAATTTTTTTTTTTTTTTTTGCTTAGCTACCCATCCCTGACCCCCCCCCCCTCACCCCCCACCCCCAAACCCCTCCTAAACATCAAGCCCAACCAGGTGGAGCCCAAACAAATGAAAAAAACCAAATAAATAAATAAATTTGGCCCGAACCGGGCCGGGCCGGGCCTTGTTATGGGTGACCCGAGCCCGGACCAAAAACCCACCGGGTCGGGCCTACCCGGACCGGTCACTGACCGGGCCACCGGTTCAGGCCGGGCCGGAACAGTACCGGTCCCGGGCCGGTTCCGGGTCGGGCCACCCGGCCCGAGTCCAACCCTAGTTCCAAAATGATGGTCCTGTATTTCCTTTTTGGGATGTCCCAAAATGATGATCTTGTTTCCCTTTTTGGAAAGAAAGATGTGGTCCATATCATTTCATTTTATTATCTTCAAATCTCAACCACAACTTATACCTTTTCAACCATTTTATTAAAACTTGTGCCCAATAGAAATGAGACTATCAAATTGGGACGGAGGGAGTATCGAAATATAAGAATTGATATATAAATCCACTAAAAAAATCAAATTTAACATTTTATTTGAAAATGACTCAAAACTATCTGCGCTTTTTTGTTAAAGCAGCAGTCAGTCCATGCAATTTTGGACGGGATTTTCACTATGGATCATCCGGAAACAGTCTCTATGTGCTTTAGTACAAGGGTAAGACTGCGTACATCCGACCCCCTTTACCCCACCATAGGTGGGAGCTTTTGCGGCACCGGGGTAAATGAAAATCATGATGATTTGAAAATGAGTTGAGGCAAGCCAATTCATAAAACTCTACTTACTTACATGAGCGAGCGAGGAGCACGGCCACCATTAAGGTAGTATATGTACAAGAACGCGTCCCGCTGACCGGCTTCGGTCGGATAAAAAGAACGCAATCTTCTTATACATTTAAATGACATTTTCTTGTAGAGCGAGATAGCCGGTGTATTGTTGGAAACCACATGAAGATAAACTGCTTTGCAAGTTTGCATGCTTGTAGCATAATCAATGACCAAACTGATTAGAGAAGTGGCTGAAATTCCAATTCCAGAGGACATCCATTAGAAAATACTTTTTGAGAATTGAGAGGGAAAAGTGTTCTAATGCAAATCAGAACAGGAGTTTTACCACTGCAAATCAGAACTATATCTCACCTATTCCAAGCTTTCTATAAGATTTTAAGACTCCAAGCGTTAAGATATAAACTACAGTCTCAGCAGGCTTTGATGGATCAAACTTGACCAAATCATCTAACTGTACAAACACCAATGACAACAAATTAAGGGTTTGGTTTACTAGACTAGAACTAACATGAGTGAATTGAAGGAGGCCAACAAACCAACCTCGCTTCCTCTAGCAAAGACAACTTCTGTGGTAACAAATCCAATAAGTTCATCACTCTTACCATTGGTCCTATTGCAGTCAACAGCTCCCCAAGATACAATGCCATTACCTCCATTTACAATATCTTGGAAAAACTCAGGTTCGTACCTAAGACACCCGAATTATACACTTTTTCACCGATACATCGAAAAGCCATCGTTAAAATGTGTAAATAACACATATAAGAAACTAACAACCAACACATACATGGTGTGGTCAATGGGAGACAATCCATTCCCTTGCCCAGCCCAGCTTCGGTAAAAACATTTATTCCGAAGTCCCCATCCCATGTAAAGAAAAAGAGAAAGTTACCGATATAGAAGTAAAAATCATCAAATGTACACCTATATGAGTCCTGAAAATAATGATTAATAGGTGCGATTTGCTCCTATAGAGAGAAAAAACATGCATACATAGTTCTTAGTAGTAGAAACTTTGCTCATCTACTTGTGCGTTTTCCTATTGTTATGCAGAGTAGTTTTATATACGACAATTCCTTAAAACAAATATTTGTAATACTCCATAGTAAGTTAGAGAAAATATGAATAACTTTTGTTTATATATCTTGACCACCCCAATTTTCTGCCCTAACGACACCATTGAACGCAGAAAAGTGCTTGCAAAACCTGAAAGGGAACAAATCTCCATGGATCTTCTCAAGAACTTTTAAATCAGATGGTCGTAAAGGTCTATATGATATGAAAGGATAATGAGACATTATGACATTATTTAACGTTAAATCATCAAAGCCTTCCATTTGTTAGGTTCTCTCCATAACTCCTCATATATAACCAAACTTTGAGCTAAAATCTATGTGCCTTCAATCAACAAAAATTCTCCCTAGTAGGCAAAAAACTATGTCCATCTAAGAGTGTTAGTTACTTCATGTAATATAGTTTCCCTCATACGAATGCAAGTAAAGAATATTTTGAAGTAAAGAGTTCTTTTCTTGTACATATATAGAAGCGGCCAGGGCACTTGGCCGATTGGGCCGGTACAAAGATTATTTTTCAAATATATTTTACAAGGAAATTTTTATATAAAAAAAAAGATTTTTATAAAAGTAGCCCTAAATTCCACAATAGGACTATAGTCCTTTTATTCTCAAAATAAGAGTAATATATATCTCGTCTTTTTATTCTACCCCTTTCCTATAATTTCTAATATATTTATTTATTAATAAAAAATCATTGTTTTATTTATAATAAGAACATAAAAATCATAAAAAATTCATACACAGGGTATAAATTTGAGGGAAAATAAAATTAAATAAAAAAGTAAAAAAAATAAAAATATTAAAAAACTTAAAAAATACCTAAAAAATGTAGGCCACTACCTTTGCATCCTCCACTTCCCAGCACCACCAACTCCGATCGCAAGAAAAAAAATGCAATCTTGTGTTAAAATGTCATATTTCTCTTCAAAAATGCCATGAAGATGACATTTTTACTCTTTGAAAGTATCTAGCTTTCTTTTCAAAATTGTCATCACGATGACATATTTTTCAACTTGACATTCTTTTCCGTAGACCTGAGGTGACGGTGTTGTAAGGTGGCTGAGGTGGTGGTTGAGGCCTATATATGTTTTATTTATTTTTTACGTGGACAAATAAAATATACTCCCTTCATCCCTTAAAATTTGGCCAAGTTTGACTGGCACGGGGATTAATAAAGTAAAAACTGTGTGATTGAGTTTCGTGCAGAAGAGAGAGAATTAACCGGAACCACAAATTCTTTAATTAAGAGGGAAAGTAGCAAACTTAGTGGGACACCCCAAAGAGGAAAGTTGGCAAAGTTTTAACATTTAAGGGACAAAGGCCTTTGGATTTAAATTTGGGCGGTTGAACCATTATTTCCCGTTCAAGTAGTACCAAAGGCATCCCCTAGCCTTAATGCAGGACAATGTCATGCGGAAATCACTGACCAATTTCTTTAAAATTTTCCTCAAAAAACTGTATTTAAAAAGCTAGTCAGTGGGCGAGCTGTACCTTTTTGTGCTATGCATGCCTCCGATGCTGATTGACCATGAGGAACCCACTCTGACTCCCACTCATCTATTTACCCATCAAAAAATACTCCCTAATGTAAACAATTAAGAGTCACTAAACTCATTTTTCACTCTTCAATTGATTCAACCACAATTTCCATCATTTTGAAATGGAGCCAAAGATTCATTATTTTTTGGCTTGAGATTATGATGGAATAAAGCAAAATGGCTCACTAAACTGTTTGCGCTTCTTTGTTATGAAGCAGCAGTCAGTCCATGCAATTTTGGACAGGATTTTCACTATGGGTCATCCGGAAACAATCTCTCTGTGCTTTAGTACAGGGGTAAGACTGCGTACATCCGACCCCCCCTTACCCCACCGTAGGTGGGAGACTTTGTGGCACTGGGGTAAATGAAAAAAAAAATTGATTCAACCACTACACGATAGTGCAAGCTGGATTTCCTGTTGCAACCACCCGCATCAGGCTCTTGAGAGGGGAGAGAATTCTTAGGATTTTTGCGAGAGAGCAGGCCAAGACACCTTCTTCACTTTTCATCCTCTGGTTTTGCTTTTCTCTGTGTGCCACGAACCATGTAGAAAAACTCAGACATCTTACCAATTTTGCTGCACCTTGAAGAGTAGAAAGGAAGGGGAGAAACGAGGTTTATTATTGAAGTGAAATGATAGAATGAACTTTTCCCAATTTTTACTCCTAAAAAAAGAGGTTACTCCTACATCGGTCAATTTCCCATTAAATAATGGGGAGCAACTTAACCATTTTAGTTTTTTAAGTTTTAATCGGAATCCTGAATGTGCAAGCAGGAAGGCTAAAGACAGAATCAAGTTTAAATTTACCTGATTGCATTGGAACAGAGCTATGTGATGGGGTGACTTCCTATTGCCGCATGAGTTCGCCCCCGACAAAACTAAAGTTTCGGTCTCCGCCACAAAACCATTTATTATCAAAATGATAGCAGCCTGTCAGAGTTGTTCCCTTAACAAGGTTATGTGACGAAAAGGTCATGACATACCGCTTTTAGGCATATGCATACATCATGGATGGTGAATGTGGATAAGACAATTTCCTACCAATATTCTCGACAGGAGCATGACCCATCAACAAAATGATGGAAACGGTTGGTGTCTCTCACGATAATCTCCCGAGCTGTGATCTTCGAGATGAGTTTGATGGCTGTGTGGCAATCGCCACATATACGAAGGTTTTTAATCACCCGGATCACATCCTCAGGTTTAGTACTGCTAATTAAGCCAAACGCAACCGCAAGTTTCTCACTATGGCACCCAACAAAATACTCCTTCTCCTCCTCTTCGATATCAAAGAGAACGTATTCAGTTTCTGGAACGTACCCCGCTTCCCTTAACCCCTTCTCCAGCTCACCGAGTTTACCATGAATCTGATCTGACATTGGATGCCTCCTATCACCTACAAGAAATTCATGAACCTTTCCGCCAACTTCTATCCAACTACACGCAGGCAGCTTCTGGATCTTCATTTTGTTCATATCAGATCGGATCTTTTCTGAATCATTCCACTTGCGGTCGGCTGAGTATATGTTTGCCAGAAGAACGTAGTTACCACAATTCCACGGCTCGAGTTTAATCAGTTCCTTTAAAACATGCTCCGCTAACTTTGTGTCACGATATAACCGGCACCCAGCTAATAGCGCCCCCCAAATGACGGCATTAGCCTTCATCGGCATCCTGGTAATTAAGGAATGGGCCTCCTCTAACCTGCCTGCCCGCCCGAGAAGATCGACCATGCAACCGTAATGTTGAATGTCATGTTTCAAGAAATACAACTGGACCATGCTGTCGAAAAAGCGACGGCCTTCATTTAGAAGGCCAGCATGAGTACAGGCGCAGAGAAGACCCATGAAAGTGTTGCCGTCAGGAGGAATCCCATGCTTCTCTAATTGGGCAAAGCATGAGAATGACGATCTAACGTGGCCGTGCATGGCAAGCCCAGAGATCATGGCATTCCAGACGACACAATCCCTCACCTTCATTTCTTTAAACACTGCCCAAGCAAAATTCATTTCTCCGCATCTTGCATACATGTCTATGAGTGAAGTACCTAAAACCGGGTTGAGATGGAATTCTTTTTTGTCGATCAGGTTACTGGCCAAGATACCCACGTTTAAAGCACCTAATCTTCCACACGCAGACAACACTCCAACCATTGAGTAACAATCAAGACTCATATTTGACCTTTGCATTCTGTAGAACAAATCCAGTGCCTCCTTGGGGAGGCCGTTTGCAGCGTAGCCTTGAATCATAGCACTCCATGAAACAATATCTTTTTCAGACATTTCCTCAAACACATGCCGGGCTTTCTCCATGTTCCCACATTTCGAGTACATGTCCACCAAAGAAGTACCCACAAACACATTCATTCGACCACAAGTGTCCAAAATATACTTGTGTACCCATTCACCGGTTCCAATATCTCCTAGATGGCCGCAAGCAGAGAGTACCCGAACAAGTATGAAGCTATCTGGCACCAAACCCATCCCCACACACCTGCAGAACAAAACGACTGCTTCTCTAAACCTCCCGAAAGCTACATATGCACCCATGATCGATGTCCAAGAAACCACATTCTTCTCAGGAAGACCATCGAACACTTTGTGCGCATCCTGTAAGCACCCACATTTTGCGTAAAAACAAACCAACCCGGTGCTCACGAACGGATCATCACCAAACCCAGTTTTCACGACAAGGCCATGCGCATTGATCCCCAGTTCATAATCCGAAATCCTGGCGCATGATTTCAGAAGAAAAGGGAATGTGAAGTTGTTCGGCAAATAGCTCATTTGGCGCATGGAGTTGAAGACTTCTATGGCAAGATCGAAGCAATCATTGGTTACTAAACCCCGGATCATAGTGTTCCATAGAAAGATGTTAGGTTCTAAGGTTTGGCTGAAAAGAAGCTTAGCGTAGTCAGGATTGTGGAAGGAGTTGAGAGTAAGCATCAGGAGTTGGTTGAGAAGATAGTTGTTTTGGTGTAAACCAGAGCGGAGAAGCCGAGCGTGGATGTGCTTGAAGTGGTTGAATGACTCAAAGCCTTGAAAGAGAGCCGCTTTGATCTCCACCAGGGATTTGGGAACAACTGTGGTAGCAAGATTCATGGCTGCCTTAACCTGCAATTTCTTATTTAAAAAAAACTTAAATAAAACGTATATAGAAGTGCTTTTAAGTTGGAAGTTTATCAATCTAGGACTTGAAAGAAAGATGAATTATCAATACGGGATCTAAAAGAGTAAAAGTGTCGGTATAGAGCCCACAAGATAGAAAAATATCAATCTAGGACCTCAAATTCCATAGGTTTTTATTCTCTTTATTATTGATTCCATTGCTAATTTTTTATGAAAATTTCTTCACAAAAGTTTATTAGTTTAATAAATTAAATAATATAAATTTTTAAAAAAATCTTTCAAGTCCCAGATTGATAACTTATCTATCTTTCAAGTCCTGGATTGATAAAATTCCTTTTAAGTTTGAAAAGTTTTATGCATTTAATAGATATTGGTATATTATTTGAACACTTCTCTATATTTTAATTCATTAAATGTATTCAAATGTTATCAAACAAAGTATTGAAATTACTTTAATACAACGTACCAATAATATGAGCTGTTAAACACGTAGTAGAAAATGAAAATCATAGTATAGAGCTTGAAAACAGTAAGTTAGCCATCGTTCAGCGTCCACGGGATCCTTGATCTCAATAGCCTTATTGAAGCATATCCAAAAACAAAATCACTACATATATTAATATGTGTTAGCTGACCCTAAAATCTTCTGGGACTAAGGCTTGGATGCTATTGTTTATCAATATGGCACGTTAAAGTAAATGCTATGTTCCTTTCATCTAAAATTGTTTTTTAGTCCATCACCATTGACAAAAAAACACAAATAGCTTGACAATTTTAAAGATATATGAACTTTTTTATCACTATAAAATAGATAGTACTTACATTGGATAAACAATGATACATGGTCAATGCATAATTATAATTTAAGTAAAATCACCAGTGCTATCTTAGTTACCTTTATAATGTCTAATGCGAGAAGATGGTGAAAAATATAAAGTTCCTTTAAAAATTAAAAGAAAGTTGCAAGGTGTATGTTGTACAATTGTATATTTTACTTTTATTCATAACAAAGTGTTGTGTTCTCATTTTCAACAGTTTAGATGCTTAATTCTATTTGTATGGGTTCTAGTGATTTTGTAAAATTAAGCCAATAGAAGGTGAAAAATATGGAGTGCCTTCTCTATTCTCTCATTGCTAATCCATTCACAGATCCACGTAAATGGAGAGATCGAGAATTACATCCATCATTGTAGTTTACATTTTTTCTTGTACTTTTTGCATATTTTCGTAAGGCTTTTAACAAAATTATAATAGAAAAGTAAAGAACATTAAGTGGACTACTCAGTAACCAATCACAAGAATACAGAAACATACCTGTGGTTTAAATTTATGAGATAGAAGAACCCGCAAGTGTGATGGATTCAACAAATTATCAACTACCTATGATAAATGATCAATCACACAAAACAAAATCAGTAACACGCACTTTTTGAAAACTAAATAAACCATTTCATACTTTATCATGAGAGAAAACATATCAACTTTTGTAACATTACCAACTATGCCAGTAGAGTTTGCTGATGACGAAGATTAAGAAGAAAATAATTAGATCATTACCTTCAATAAACACATAATTAGGTGTACTTGATGCCATTAAAATATGCCTGGTTTAAAAATAAAGCATGAATTACTCAATAAAAATAGAGTATGGTATTATACTTTAATTTTGGAATTCTTTCTTAAACGTAATTGCTGTATAACCCTTTTATTCTCTCTTTTTATTAAATTTCCTTGACCGGACATTGCCCAAGGATTCCTTAATGCTGATGCCCACTTTTAAATGATTCAACACTTGCCAAATTTAAATAAATTACTCCCAGGCCTTTGTTCTTTATTAGTTATCCCTTATTCCTTTTTGAAAAGTTTTTTATTATTTGTTTCTCTTTCCATTGTTAGTAAGTTTTTCTTATCAAAATACCTTCATACCCTTACCTTTTTACATTTTACTATCTACCTTCTCTTTCCTACTTTTTCATTACTTTCCTCATAGTATAATCTCTTTCCTACTACTACTTTTACCCTACACCCTTTATACTACCCCTACTATTTTCTTCTTAAAAGCCATAAAATACCTAAGTGGACAGTTAATTAAGAACGGAGCTAGTATGATAATATTACCAATAGAAAATGCAAGGAGAAATATATTGAGGTTAAGCGAGAAATCCCGAGAATGATCATAGTTATTGCTTATAAGTTTTAGAAAATAAATTTATTAAATCATATTGAGGTGAAGAGAAAATGAGCATAATTATTAAGGAAGTCCTCGATGTTCTTGTCTACTATAACCATGGTACAATTTATCGAGTTTGCAAGAATGAATTAACCTAAAATATTAAAATATTATTCTTCAAACTTCAGAAAAGTCGGATGAAGGAAGCGGGCAATGAGAGCGAGGTAGTTTGGCTTTTTCAAGTAGGGAAGTGGGATGAAGACAGAAATCTTACAATTTAATAGGTTCCATCTTATATAATTCTACCTTATGGTTCTTATCATTGATCCACTTTTTCAATTGTTAGTAGAAGAAAGATGTTGCTGGCTTAAAAGGCATTCTAATGGTGACAACAAACGAACCATAATGGGATTAATGGCTAATATTAAATGTCTTAGTTCTTGGTTATATCAAAAGGTTAAAAAATGAAAAGCGTTTGACAAAGAAGATGAAAAGAAACAAAAAGAAAATAAAAAAGTAGAAAAAGGATCAAATAAGTAAGAAATATGAGATGAAAAAGAAAGGTTAAACTTTAATGAAACAAAACAGGTATTAAAAACATTCCTAAAAAAGCAGCAACCAAAAAAACAGATAACACTAAGAAAGCATTCCTAAAAGGAATAAGAAGCAACTAAAAAGCAGAGATAAAAAGTTCAGGATACTTTCACCATGTAAACTACTTGTACTGGGTTGAGAACCTCGTTTGACAGAAAAATAAACACGGTGTTTAAACGAACCATAAGCTAATTTTTTTATTACCAGTCAGAATACTATCTCTACTTGATATGTTTTTATATATGTAGCTCCCTAAGAAAATAACATTTCTATGCCTTTGAAAAATTGTGTTCATGAGAAAAGTACGTGTATGGCATGACTAAGTGTGAAAATATCTCTGGTAGTGACTGATATTGTGAATAGTAACAAAAACTAAGCCATTTAGTGTTAAACCTCACTTTGAAGGTGCGGTTATTAATAGTAACTTTTCATAGCTGTTTAAAAATATGCAGTTTTAAATATTTTGTTTTTTGTAGGTTTGATTTGGACATGAGTTGTGCTTTGTGAACATAATTGACTCCTCATTAGCAACATGTAATTGTCTCGATAAATGATTAAAAGTGATGTAACAATAAGTCAATAAGAACATCATTTAGAATCTAAATTAGAAATAACACAGTAGATGGGTTGAAGCAAATGAGGCTCAAGTGTGCCCCTTTCCTGATGGAGGATCCGCGCATAAATCATAAAGCCAAATGGTCAAAGCACTCAATGGCTAGGGTGGCTCCATGGTAGCTGGGTTCTGATGAAAGAGGAAAAAATCAAAAAGTGGGAAAAGGGTGAAATAAGAAAGAAGACGTGAAAAAGGAAGTTAAAACTTCAATGGAATGAAACATGTATTAAAAAACACTCCTAAAAGGAACAAGCAACAACTAAAAAATCAGAGAAAACGATGAAAGAATAAGAGCCTGTGAGAGAAGGTTACTTGGGTCATTAATGCCCCGTGGCAATACAACAAAATATTGAAACCATCTTAGTAGCTAATTTAATCCATGTCTTTTGAACAGATATATCTTACCAACCAAGTCAAACAACCCATCCTTCGTTGTATAAATTAATCTGGCAGTGTAAATACCTTCCATTTCCAACTCTCAATGAATATAATGTTTGATAAAAAACAGCTAAACTTGGTTTGGCCACCATGAGAATCTCTGGGAAACTGACAAACTGTGTGCTATAATGCTATCGTAGCGTGTCGTTATTATTTGTAAACTGGAAAGCAACATTAAAAAAAGGAAATCAGATAAATATCTTAAGGACCTCTTGAGATCATTGTCATAACTGAATATAGGTTAGTGTTGTACTGTTGTCTGATTATCCCATAACCCAGTTAAGTAACCTAAAACATTAAAATCAACTAATCCATGTCTTTTAAACACATGTCTTACCAACTGAGTCAAACAACCCATCCTCTATGTGTATATAATCAATCTAGCAGTGTAAATACTGTCCATTTCCAACTCTCATTGAATACATACCGTGTTTGACAAAAAAAGCTAAACTTGGCGTTTGGCCACCGTGAGAAGCTCTGGGAAAAATGGAAACTGTGTACTTATTGTAGCTAGTTGTTTTTATTTTTCAATTGGAAAGCAACTTTAAGCAAAGAAAGCCGGATAAACAGATCATCTAGGTCTATAAATATTTCAAATTATCCTGATAGTTACCATGTCAAAATATGAATAAGAATTGTATGAAGACTGATACCAGAATACAATTCTGTTATTTACCGTGTCAAAAAATGGATAGGAATTGAACAAACATATCATTTTTGTGATTAAAGTCTTAGTTCTTGAAGATAAAAAAACAATCGATCAAAAACTTTATTTTGAAAATTTGTCATCACTGTACTCTGTAGTTATAAGACTCCTAATGCAAGAAGACAGAAAAACAATTCAAAAAACAAATTGCATTTTAGTTCACGACCAAAATAGCTAAATATAATAATAGTTTTGGTAAAATTGTGAAAATTTTAACAAAAGAGGAAATAAAAAAGAAGGAAAATAGCATTCACTACATTCATCATTTTGTCATACTATATTAGCAGCAAATCTATACTAAGATTTTTTTGATTCTAAAGTATAGCTCTGTAGAGTTGGTAATGCATCATCTTGAGGGGAACATTCGGGATTTGACTTCTTCACATAATCAAAATGTCTCCATTGAACCCTTTCACTAAGGTCACTTTCTCTAATCTTCTCCTTTTTTTTCTTTCTCCTATCCAGATTCAGCCATTTTATTACACCTTAAAATTAATTAAATTTATAAATTTAATGATTTTCCATCATTTTCGGAGCCAAAGATTCACTATTTTTTGGCTTGAAAATATAATGGAATAAAGCAAACTGTCTGCCCTTCTTTATTGGGAAGATCAGTGGGTCCATGTAGTTTTCTAGGGCTATTTTCACTCTGGGTCATTCGGAAATCAACCCAAAAAAATCAACAACTATGATTCTATGAACCATTCAACCCTTAAACTAATATGTAATGACCCATTTAAGAGTTATATCAGATTAGCAGAATACCAGAAACCACTGAATTGAAGGTCAGGAGGCCGAAAGGGTGAAGGGGCGAAGGGGCTGCGGGTATGGGATTCTGGGAACTGGGAAGGATCGGAACCGCAGGCGCCAGGTCCACTCAGAATTGGCAGGGCCAGGCACCTGTCGGGAGGCGGCCAAGCAGCGCAGGCGGAAGGTCCAGTCTGAATGGGCAGGGCGGGGCACCGGTCGGGAGGCGGCCAAGCATCGCAGGCTCGCAACCGTCGTTGTGTCGGAGTCGGGCAGCTTGGCCGTCGGCGTTCCAACTTCTGTGTCGCACTTCCGTCAGTGTTGAGTAGACATGTGGGCGTTTAGCACTTCTAAGTTGGGCTTATCAGCGTCCGTAAGGACTGCTAGGGAGTGGGCGCTGCTTGGGCCGGGTAAAATGGGTAGATTAGGGCTGAAAACATGCCTAAAAAAATTCACAAAAAGGGTCTCACTTAGGGGTGGGAAAAACCGAATCGAAACCCGGAAACCGACCCTCGCTCAGCCCGAATTATGATGTCGGTCTGGGTTTTTTATTTTTGACCGGTCCAAATAAAAAATAATCGCACTGAATCCAAAATTTTGGGCTCATTAACGGGCCCTAAAATCTATAACCCGGCCCGTACCAATAAAACCCGAAAGAATTAGCTTTAATATAAAATCAATACTCCCTCCCTCCCATAAAATTCTTCTCACTTTCCTTTTTGGGCCGTCACAAAAAATTCTTCCCACTTACTACTTCCGTCCCATAATTTACTTCCGTAGTACAAATGGCACACGGATTAAGAAAGTGGGTTTTGTGTGGTGGAGAGTTGTACGGAGGAGAGAGAAATGTGTAAGAATTGTTGTGAACCACAAATTCTATGCTAAAGAGGGAAAGAGAAGTTCTTTTTGGGACGGATGAAAAGGGAAAGTTGGAAGTATTTTCAGGGACGGAGGGAGTACCATTTTTGTAGAATCTGTGTGGTTCACATTCATTTCACCTTTTTCTTACACAACCACAACCATACATTTCCACTTTCTTAATCTTTGTGCCAAGTCAAAGTGGGAAGAATTTTATGGGACGGAGGTAGTATAATATACCAGTATAATTTATAAATTAATTCCTATTATATGATTATAATCATGATAGACAAAAAATGATTTAATAACTTTTAGTGACTACAAATATGTTCAATTTATTTACCGTAATGACCATGAAAACATATTTATAGTAACTTTAGTCACATTTTTTCCATAAACTTTATTTCGTAACATTTTTAGAACACCTATATTATTTATTTTTATGCATCTTAAACAAAATATTATGACAATTATCTTTTTTGGATTTGAATTCTTGGTGATTTTGGAGACTAATATTTGTGTTATTATTTGCGGTTTGTACTTTTTATTAATTTTATTTGAAAATAGATTTTAAAATATAAAAGAAAAATGAGATGATTTCACATTCGGGCTTTAACCAGCCCAACCCGAACCGATCCCGGACTACAAAAAACCCGACTCGGACCGAATATAGTGGGCTTTGTTTCGGTCCCTAACTTTTATAACTCGCGACCTCACGGGTAATTTCCGGGTTTAGCAAAAACCCGACCCGGACCGGACCGATCCCACCCCTAGTCTCTCTCACTTATGCTTTTTTTTAGAAATTTCGAGCGAGGCATCGTCACACTTGTGTTTTTTTGTGTGCTCTTGGGGTATTAAATTAAATTATACTACCTCCGTCCCGCAAAGAAGTTCCCACTTTCCTTTTATGGATGTCCCAAAAAGAAGTTCTCATTTATATAAAAGGAAACCACTTTTAATCAAAAAGTCACAACTACCCTTACTTTTTACCCACTTTTTGTTTGATTTGATATAAAGTAAGGGTATACTTGGAAAGTCAAAACAAAACTCTACCTTACATAAATATGTGTAGGTCAAACTAGGAACTTCTTTACGGGACGGAGAGAGTACTCTTGGATAAAAAATCAACAAATGATACACATAAGTCATAATGCTCAACCGGTAAGAGGAAAATGATTCAGCACATTAGTGTATGAAAGGGCAAAGTCCTGTTGCCCAAATAATTCGCAGGTTAATTATTTTTCCTGATTTCCTATGCAGAATTTCGTCTACAATCTGAAATATTTCAGAGGCATGTCGAGGCTTGGCATATATGACACTGATATGGAAAACACGATCGCAACAATTGTTAAGTAACCTCAAAGAAATCTAGAAGAATTGTTTTGGAGATAATACTGAGCATTCATTTGTTTCCTTAACTCTCCAACCTTTTAAATTAAAAATTGCACTAAATGTTTGATTTTATGCATACATTATATTCCTTCGTTCTTAAATAATTGCAACACATTCCCCTTTTTGACAGTTTCAAAATAATTGCAACCTTCCTCTTTTAGGAAATAAGCAACAGATGAAATGACTTTAATACCCTTAATAATTCCACATGAAGACTCATCTCCTGATGTATTTTTCCATCCACCCATCGAGACCCACATTTGTCTTTTCCCACCATTATCACGTCATCTTCTCCTCTTACGCCTCACCTATCTTCTTTCTTTGTCCAGTTTTTCTCAAATTTATTTTTAGATTTGGACGGAATGGAAATCTTGCTAGAAGATTTACATGATTTTTACTCCAACTACAATTTTGTAATGGTGGTGTTTTTTTTGCTCCGACTACGCTTTTTCTCTTCCATCACCAACACTCCACAACAGGGCATCATCCCTTCTTATCTGTTTTCCATTCCGCCACACCACACTACCATAAACTCCTTTTTGTTTTTTTTGATAATCCAGTTGTCGGGGCTTACGCTCCCATAATCCCCGTGGACGGGATTGATATTTATAAATTAACATTTTTTTTCTATTTTTATAAATTAACCTTATCTTCATCTTTCATTATGGCTTTTTCCTTGCCAAGATTGCTGTTTATAAGGGCATCCCCATCCATTAGATTATTTGAGGTTTAATTGAATGATGTGGAAGATTATTTGAAATATTATCATTGTGAGTGAAAGAATATTAAAAGAGATTATTGAAAAAGAAAATCCGGTATCATGATTAGGATCCCGGATTATTTTAGGTTGTAGTTAAACTTGCATTTAATGCATGGTGTAGAAAAACTAATTATTTGAGTATCATGGATGATGAAGAGTATTAAGATTTGAGATTGTTTAAAATCTATTGAGTAAATGTGATGTGGCAATGATGTGTAATAGAAAAACCATTTATTTTAAGATCATGAATGGAGATGCTCTAAAGCTATACATCCAATAATGAAGCTATAAGTTCTTTTATGTTTTCATGTATACTGTAGGTTTATTTTCTTTTGCACGTGTGAAGTTCAAAATCTTGGACTGGACCAAGCATTGACCTACTGAAGAGGATAACTCATTTTTCAACAGCATTGGTGTTGGGTGCAATGTAGAGTGGCGGGGAACATGTACAAAACATATGGTTAATACAGATCCTTTAAATGTTTCTTTGTTATATTTTCCAGGTTTATAAATATATAAATCATCCGAGACTTATAGTTCTCTGAGTTAGGGTAATCAGTGCACACAAATTGACATAAAAAATGGTTCCTTGATGATAGAACAAGAAGGAGAACGATGTTGTATTCATAGAAGATTCTTGGTGGAAGAACGAGAAGGAGAAAGGAGAAGAATCTTGATGGAAAGAGAATGAAAAGTTAAGGATGTTTTATTTGGAGAAACTCGTTGAATGTCTTCTCCTAAATTTGTTAGATTGAGGCAATGTTGACATTATTAGTTGTTGATGAATTGTCATATTTTTGTACAAGGGTAAAAATGATATTTAAAATTATTTTATTTATTTAAATTTAATTATATTGTTGTACTTAATAATTTTGTGGTTGTGAATAGACCACCCCATATCTATTATGGAGTACAAAGATTGAAACTGAGCCTAAATTTTTTCCATACTTTTGGGCCTAAACCCCCCGCCCCCAGGGCTCGCGTGTGGGAGAAGAAAGAAAACTTCACATTAGTTCACCAAAAAGTACATAATTGTAGGGCTCGTTTAGTAGTTTAGATGTTAAATCTTTGCACGCAAAATGATTGCATGTAAAGTTTAGGGGAGCAATCATTTTGCATGTAAAGTAGATTACATTGTTTGACTAGATGTTTAATTTATTTTTAAATTGCATGTAAAGGTGTTGCGGTGCTTAATAAAAAAACATGTAAAGTATTTTATCATCCTCCCCTACGTAAAATACTTTACGTAAGTTACTATAAGAGGTTGAGAACATGATATAGGTCAGATCTATTCGAAGAGGGAGAATTATTTCGATCGGCTGGAGTGTTCTTTCACGACAAACCGACTTAATATTCACACATCTCTTAGATTAAGATCAATTGTGCTTGTAATTAGAGATCTGATTTTTAAAAAATGAAAAAGAAAATGAGAAAATTAGTTTTGAATGTTATGTTATGTTATGTTATGTTATGTTATGTTATGTTATGCTATGTTATGTTATGTTATGTTATGTTATACTTTTATTTAAGGAGTTTTTTCGAGAGTTTACGTCAAGCCATCTTGAAGAAAACTCTCGAAGATCTACTTCATTGTTGGTCTAAAATGAATTCAATAGTCCACTTGTTTATTCATAGCTACGTATCAAATATGGTTTTAGTTTCAACTATTATAATTACAAAGGAGATAAATCTTATCGAGCTAAATCTATGTTTTGATGAATTCATCTTAATCCTCCTACATAATTGCACTACTTTGGGAGAAGCATTTTTCCCGCTCAGTTTCATATATGTATTCTTAGCTGCACGATGGAGGAACGAGGATCAATCGCTCACGTTTGCTTAAGCGTTCTACCCTCACTCATTTCTCGATCATACCATTTCTCAAGAAACTAGGAAGAAACTACACTTATAGCCCTATTATAAAAAATGGGGAAAGTCAAGGAAGATATGGGTATAATTAATCATTAAAGAAAGGAGAAGAAAGAATTTGTGTTTCCATTGTGATGAAACTTATTTTTCAGGTCATACCTGTAAGGCATAGATATACAATATTCAAATCCTACCCATAATGGAATAAGAAAATGAAGAAGTCATGGAAGAAAGGGAGAAGTTTCAATGGATGGAAAACACAAAATCCTACTGCAAAATTTATCAAGACAAGAACCCTTGAATGTTTTGGCTGGTCATCAAAGTTTCCATACCATGAAAGTGGTTGGTAAGGTGAAAATAAGGATTTGGACATCCTTATTGACTCTGGTAGCATCCATAACTTCATAGACCTAGGAAGTTAGGGTGTAGAATTTCTAAATCCTATCCTATGAAAGTATCGGTTGCTAATGGTGAAAAA